TAATGAAGATATTAAAAATAATATTTGGTATTTAGAGTGCTCATTAAGTAAATATTTATTAATCGAACATTTGTTACCTAACCTTGAAACTCAGGTAAGGGCATTAAAAATAAATACCGTAATAATAAATAATAAATCTAACTAAAGCCCTGTGCGTTTATTTTTAAATGGGTCCAGTTGGATGGATTTATATTAGATATGGGCTTCTATTAGGGAATGGGCGTTTATTTTTCAAATGGCCTCATTGGGTGGGCTTGTATTAGATATGGGCTTCTAATAGAGAAGGGCTTTAATAAGACATTTACGGTAAATATAAAATTATAGGTATATAGTTTAGTTTGCATGAAATTTGAAATATTCGTTCTTTTGGTTTTATTTAATCTTATAGTTCACCATATAGCTTATAAAATAATGATTAGTTAATATTTGTTAAAATCATACAATTTAATTTATATTTTAATAGTTAAAGTTAATATTAATCTAACAATTAGATACCCTAAATCCTCTAAAATATCCCCCGCGGCTATTTTTCAATCGTCCTCCAGAGGGGGCTATTTTAGAAAGGGATTTTAATTTAAGGCATATTAAAATATATTATTTAAACAATTATCACATCATTAAAATTTCAAAAAAATTCTTTAAGAATATATGGCGGCCACTAATTGATCAAGAAATTAAAACCAACAACGAAATCACTGTTTCTTTTTTAAATAATCCAGAAACCGATATCAATTTGCTTGAAGAGGAGCTGAAGGAAAATCAACAAAAATTCCAACATTTAAGCGGTGAAGAGTATAAAATTCGGTCAATTCAATACTCGATAACATATGAAAAATTAATAGAAAATATTCTTGTTCAAAGTTGGAGTGAATATAAATATGGAATTATTTATTTCAAATTAAATAATATTAAATTAATATTTGATAATTTGATAGACAAAGAAATTGAAGAAAGTTATTATGATAATATGATTAATATTTATAAAGAAGTTGTGGAAATTGTAATTGAATTGCAACAGTTGAATGTTCTAAATGGTTAGTTTATTACATTAAATATCTAATAATATTTAGTTATATTATCATAATTATCGTAATTTTTGGCCAAGATTCTAGGTTGGGAATTCCCGAGTCCCTAAAACAGTAATCCCTTATTATGTACTTTATATATAGTTATTTTTAAATATTTAAATTAATTAAGAACAACAACCTGCTACTCAACAAAAAGAAATAAAAATATTTACACAAACTGAGTTGATTAATGTTTTATCAACGATATTTAATTCAGAACAATCAGATAATACTCCAAATAATCAACTAAACAAAACTATTTTACCACCTTTGCGTCTCGGAAGTAGTTCTGATGAGATATTAAAATACTATACAAATCAAGGTATTATTCGAGGAATACCTAATTTTGTGTCTATTCTACATATGTCAGATACTCTTTAATTATTAGGTGCGGACATAATTAGTGTCCGTTTTTTAGATTAAATTTCTAGGGGTGTTATTTTACATATATTCTTTCTACTTATTAATCAACATAAAGATCCGAATCTGCTCTTCATTTTAATACCAGGTTTAGCCATATACGCGCGAGATTTTTAAGAAGAAATATTACAACAAAATTATTTACCCAAAAATGCTGATAAAAATTTAAAGAATTCCGATTTTACTATTAATTCCTCTAATAATTTTTTGGAAGATTTTACTCATTTTATAGATTACGAGAATATAAAATTAGATCAGGCATTTAAAAATAAAATGAAACCAGCAACTTTGAAAGATAATGATAATTCAATTTTAATCCCAATTTCTAACATTATACAATCAAAAAATGTATTAACAGGTAATAAAGAAAAATTATTAAAGATAATAAAGAAAATTTGGATTATGGTAAGAAAAAATAAAAGGTCTTTTTAATTTACCGTATTTGCCAAAATAAATACCCAAGGTATTTTTGATTCAACCTCTCTCTGGAGGTAGTAATTAATAGGGAAGGGGTAATAATTTAAGCTTTAAAGAAAGGCTAATTACAACTATTTTTAAGGGGGGTAATTATTTTTTCGAGCTCTGGCTGAAGTGAGTAATTAATAGAAAGGGGTAACTATTTGAGAGAGGGACATTATAGTTACATAAGAAATATAAGAATATATTTATATTCAGATATTTATATATAAATATATTAGTTACATAATAAATATCTGTAGTTACATAATAAATATCTGAAAATTGTTTAAGAATAAAATTTATTTTAATCGTTTATTTAAAATTTTAAATTCCAAAATAAGTTTTCACAAACTATATTAAATCCCCCTAAGAATTAAAATTTTATTTTAATTTCTAAAAATTTTATTTAAATACTCAATTAATTATATACATATAGCTGGAGCCTCAAACAAACTAAGAATTAAAAGTTTCACAACAACAAAACAAAGATCCAAAAGAAAATATAAAAAAATAAATCAAGAATGTTTAGGAGAATGTGTATTAAACACAATTCCGTCAACAATACCTAAAAATAATTTTGAAAATTTAAATTTAAAAAATAAAATTGATGAAAAGAAAGGAGATTGTTCTTATAAAAAAATTATATTTAAAACAAATGGGCAAACTTTAAATGATAAAGTCAAAATAAAAATTAAGAAACAGAAAGAAAAAAAGCTAAAAAGAAAGAAATTGAAAATTAGAAAATTAAGTAAAATTTAATTTGAAGATTTTTTTGAGGGATGGTTGATTGAAATGAGATGAGGGATTATAAAGAAAAGCATTATTTATTACTAAGGCTGTGATAGTTAGGCATGTAAAATTAGTGAAATAGGCGCCTAAAATAGGCACCAAAAAGCCAAAAAAGGCACAAAAATAGGCATGTAAAAAAGGTTATCAGACCATAAAATGGAGATAAAAACAAAAAAATAACCATTTAATCGTCATTTTTTAAATTATAAACTATTTATTAAACAATTTTACCAGTTATTCGTCATTTTGAATCATTTTTTGAAAAAAATGGGGTAAATTTTTTTAAAATGTCGATAATTGACAAAATGGAAATCTCGCACAACACACAAAACGTCGTACCCCAAAACGTCCCAAAACCAAATCGTCCCAGTTCAAAATGTCCAACAGAGTAAAAATATACAATTTATCGAACTAAAAATCAATAATGGGACTTGGCACTGATTTTTTCTAATTTGGGACTGATTTTTTTAGATTTTGCACTGATTTTTAGGCAAAATTTCTAAAAATCGCTAAAAAAAGGCAAAAATAGTACCAAAAATTTCAAAATAGGCAAGAAGGCACAAAAAGTCCAAAATAGGCAGAAATAGGCAAATTAAAAGTCATGCTAGACTCTTCGGACCAAGCTAAAAACACGTTTTTTGAACGTATTAGCTCATCCCAAGCTTGCAGAAAAAATAGGCATTTGCCTATAAATCACAGCCTTATTTATTACACTAATTGTTAGCATGAAATTATTTGACTTTCAGAATTTAATTTTCTAGCGCATAAATTTTTTATTAAAAATTATTAGGTAAATATTTTTTAATTCCCCAATAAGCCTTCAACAAAGATTAAGAGTCCTATCTATCCCAACAGAGGTGGGTCGGAACAGTCAGAGGTGTCGGAACTCGGAAGAGCAGGAAATCGGAAATGGCTTAAAAGTCGGACTCGGAAATGGCTCAAAAGACGAAACTCGGAAATTGGAAATAAAAATTTTTTCGGAAATCGGAAGGAAAAAACGTCGGTAATCGGAAATCCGACCCACATCTGCTACCCAACTTCAAATTGACCGTTAAAATATAGAAATATTAAAATCTAATAAATATTTTTTAACTCAAATTATTTTTGTTTTGAAAAGCGGATGTTTAATCGGAAATACAAAAGAAAAATAAAAACAATTTAAAAATACTATTTGCACTTTACTCTTTTTGTCGGCTAATTGTTTGTCTGATGATGGGGAGGAAAGCACGAGGTTGCACTTTCCGTCACGTTTTCAATCGAAATCACAAGGAAAATTAAATCATAAGAGCTTTATAAGAGATAAATAAAGGCTTTATAAAAAAATTTTTTTAAATGCCGAGACATAAATAGAGTCTCTCCTTTGTCTTAGACTAGACATTTCCTTTGTTATCTTTTTTAGACAAGACAACAAAGGACTAGACAATTCTAGACAAGTCTTGTTTTAGACTAGACAGGCTTATGAATTTTCTTTTATTTATGTTTAAAAAAGATAATTAGATTAAGTAATTTAATTAATTAATTTAATTAATTAAATTTAGATTACCGTATTTACTAAAATAATTACCCAGGGTTATTATTATTTCAACCTCTCACTGGAGGGGGTAATTAAAAGGGAGGGAGTAATTATTTGAGCTTTTTCTAAAAAGGCTAATTATAACTATTTTCAGGAGGGGTAATTATTTTTTTCGATCTCTGGCTGTAGGGGGTAATTAACAGGGAAAGGGTAATTTTTGAGAGAAGTGCATTATTTCAGCGTTTACGGTAAGTAATATTTTTTTATTTCATATGGGGTCATAAAATTACTCCGAGCAACCTGTAAAAGGAGAAACCTGTTTATTTGAAATTATTATTTAATTAACTCTCATTATACATAGTGACGGGTTTTCACGCCTAAGGACGTTTAGTAAAAAAACTATTTTCTATAGAAAATTGCAAATTAAAAATGCAAAGACTCCTTTCCATCAGAATTTTCATTTTTCTCTTCAATATTTTTTTAAATTTTGGAATTCTGGATTCGATGGATTTGAAGAAGCTGAACATAGCTACTCCTCCAAATGAGGGTAGTAGGAAAGTAAAATATTTTTAATTACTATTCTAAGTTCTTTAGTTTTAACAATCTAACAATAGCAGAAATTGAATGACATAAAAAATAATTTACCACTTTTGGTAACCAGAAGATTAAAAACCTTCCACGAAGGATTTTTTAAGTCAATATAAGATGCTTCTTTTTTCTTAAATATTTTTTTAATATTTTTAAATTAAGAATCAAACCAACTTTCCCCAACAAAATCTCCCACTAGCTCGCTCAAAGAGTTTATATCCCTCAACAAAAACTTCAACATTATATGTGAAGGTTAATTGGAAAAACTTTGACAACTTCAAACACTTTTATGTATCTAATTCTGAAAATGTTTTTGAGCGATTTGAAGTAACTCTAAAAATATTTTCAAGTGAAAAATCGGAGAGTTTAGTGTTTAATGGAGAAAATGAACATTATAATGTTTTTAAGGTTTTTATTTTAAAATAACATAATAAAAATGAAAAAATTATTATTTTCTTATGATAATATCTTAAAAATCTCTTGAAGGATTCATTATTTTTATTATATATAATTATGACATTTAATTATTTTTTAGTTTGAGCCAAACAAATATTGGTTAGCTAATCACATAAGAATTGAAGTTAAACCGCTAATGCGAAAGATTAAAGAAAACCCCTTGAAGATTATAAAGTCATCTGAAATTGAAGGAGAAAGCTCTGTATCTGCCAGTGAGGTTGCTTGTTATAATTTAAAGGATTTGATTTGATACTAACAAATAAAAGTCAGAAATGTTAATTTATCACTGAGAAAAACATCGAGATATACAACTGCTTAATAATAATATACTTAATAAATTTTTATTTATCCGGAAAATTGAGATAAGTCTAAAATAGGGTTGCCAAAATGGACTGACTTGGACCGAAAGATCGAGTCAGGCATAAGATATTTGGCCCGAAAAAGCTCGTACCGACTCGATAAAAACAAGCCCGAAAAAATGCCTAGACCATCGGAATTCTTAACATAAGAATTAATAAAATAGGGATATGTATATATTTAAAATATGTATTCTAGATAATAATTTTAAAACATTTATTTAAGAGAAATGCTTCAGAACTTCCAACATTGTGGGGAGAATTTGAGTATGATTATGGCACAAGAGTTTTGTTCAATTACGATGAATCTTTTAAAAATCCGAGATTTGTAATTACGGATAATGCAGCTTTGGAAGGATTATTCCCAATTGTTAATTTAAAATTTTATATTAAAATACCCAACAATTATAAATTTGTTAAATTGTTTTGTCAAAAAACTAAACAATATAAGAAATGGTTTAAAGCAGATTTAAACGATGTTAAGGAAATTTTGGGAGAAAAGGATGGTGATAAAGAAATCTTGGTTAAATACAAGGGGCATGTCTGTCCTGAAGATAATTATGAATTTCATTTTATTAAAACGACTGAGAAATTTACAATGGTATTTTTAAATAAAAGTTTGATAATCTACAAAATAGACTTAACTAAAATAGTTTCATAAATATGTATAGATTTAAAAAGTTACTGAGCTGGTAGAATAATAAAATAATTGTTAAACCCCAAATAATAGAAAATAATTGTTAATATTATCTGTTTCTCTAATAAAAACGGTAAAGGATCGAATGTTGAGAGGATCAGTTAATTCAATGTTTTCATATATTCAAGATTTGGTGGGGGACCGGTCCTTTAGTTATGGTACTCTTTCTCGATACTTTTTGGCACTTTTCGGAGCTCGAATTTCACCTAATTTTATGTAATGATTTTGAGAACATAATCCATGAGTTATATTAAATACAAAATAACGAAAAAATTTAAAAATAAAATTTAAGTTTGAATATATAAATGTTTTGTGTAATGAAATATTAAATAAAGAAAATCATGTTTACAAAGTTGTTGGTTCTATAGACAATGAAAAGAAATTAATTTTGAATTGTTTTGATGTTGAAGGTAATATTTTAATAATTTTGAAGATTTATTACTTATTTGTTAGGGGGAACCTAACAGATAGTTTTGACTCTACTTTAAGGCATGCGTCCCATAAACTTTTGCGTCCCATCAGAGTACCCTCTATAAGCCTTCCAAATCCATCGATACCACTCTTAAACCAAACCCCAGATATCTCTTAATCCACCCAACACCACTTAATCCTCACAACCCCTCTATATCTATCTTAATTCCCTAAATCCTTCCTAATTACTCGTAATCCTCTATATCTATCCATTGGGATCCAACATTACATATAGTGCCATAGTTTTAATAATAGACTGGGGTAGAAAAAACTAGAAAACTAATTGGAAATTAAATATATTTTTTCATTAAATATATTTAAAATAATTATTTTACAGAGAGTACCTCAAATTAATTGTTTAACTGACAATAATTTTATATTAAAATGAAAAAAAGAAATTTTTTAAATTTATAAACAATTTTAAATTTTAAATATTTTTTAAATGTGTAAATAGTATGTATATAATATTTTACTTTTTTTTGTAAATTCAATGTGAATAAATTTTTTTTTTGAAAATACTGCATTGAATAAAATAATGCAAATACTTTTAAAATAAGAAAATAAATTTCTCAAAAATTTTCAATTTACTAAAAAATTCTCTTCTAGTTTTAAAAAATCATTCATGATTCTTCTTCCTTTAATTATATAAGTCAGTGTTAATAATAAAATATTTTTATTTCAAGTAATTTATATTATAATGGGGGGGGGGGTTTGCGTTTTACCCGCGGGTTTTCCGTTATTTTTCCGTTATTCTCTATATAAAGCAGAGGTGGGTCGGAACAGTCAGAGGCGTCGGAAATCGGAAGAGCCGGAAATCGGAACTGGCTTAAAAGTCGGAACTCGGAAATTGGAATTCCGACCCACCTCAGATATAAAGGAAAAGTAGCTAATTAGGTTTATTTATCTCAAAAAAATTATTTTGACTTTTTTCGCTATAAACACCCAAACTGTTCCCGTTCTCGAAATGAAAAAAAGTACTTTTTATGAATTTTAAAAATTATAAAGTTTATTTTTACGTTTAAATTAACATTGCCCAATGATTCTGCAAGCAATTTCAATCCATGATTGTCATGTTCTTCATTAGGTTTATTTGTATTCTTAGCAAAATACGGACTAAGATCAACAACTAGCTTGAATATTTAATTTAGTTTAAAGATTTAATTTAAAAATATTTTTAATTACTTTAATTCCTTCTGGATTGTGATGATATATCTCAGTCTTTGAATTACCAGCTGTAAAATTTATATTGATATTGGATTATTTAGTTAACTTTTTTAATTGTTTAAATTAAATAATACTTACCAACAGGTTTAGAAAGATGTACCAAATTGTTTGCACACTAAATTTTGAATTAATAAAAGATATAAATTCTTAATTGTTTCATTCTCGCAAAAGATCTTTTCAAGAAACTATTAACAAACAATCTAAACAATTTATTTAGTTAGACATGCCCCTAAATATGGAATGATTTTTCGAGAATTGGTGTGAAACATTTATAAATTAAATTAATTAATTTGACTTAAGAATATCGTAAACCAAAAATATTTTAAAATGGAAGTTGGCTATAATCTTTATTTTAAAACAGCTCTATCTTTACTGTTTAAATATTTAATAAATCTAATTAAATTTTTTAAAATTACCTCAATATCATTATCAGAGCAACTTTCTTCCTTCACAACTCTTGAATGGTGTTCATTGTTAAATTCACTTTCACCTTCACTTTCATAATCTTAATTTAATTTTAAAAATATTTTTTTATTTTTATTTTAATTGAAGGTTTGTTTTGTGCTCCTAAACATTCTCTACATTCTCTCTATAAATTTATCTAAATCATTGTTTTATCCTCAAAAACTTAGGATAAAAAATATAATAACTACAATTGACGTGTGCTTTTGATCTTTCTGATCGTCGTAATTGTTTAGCTTGTTTATTTCCTTTATTTCTCGTCAGCATGCAAAAAATTAAATTCCAAAACAAAATAAATGATAACAAAATAAAATAAAATTTAGAAACACGCATTTCTTTTTAATTGTTTTCCTTAAAGTTATAAAGTATTTCGGAAGGAATTTTTAATTTTTATGAGATAATTTAAACCGTAATTTAAAATGTTGAAAAACTTTTTTCTCATAAGCTTTCTCTCTCACTCAAAAAATTTTTTCAATTTTTCTATACAATATAAACTATAGTATTTGGAAACACGGGGATGTTAAAGTAAACTCACCTTGTTTATATTAGAGTTCAGCAGTATCGGGAATTATACAAAAAATCGGGATCGGGATTAAAAACCCGGGATAATCCCGCCCTATCCCGCCGGGATCCCGATACTGCTGAACTCTAGTTTATATGTTTCTTTGAATTACAGTATATGCTCGAATAATTACCCGAGATCCCTAATTATTGTTTCAACTCCTTGCTATGGGGGATAATTAATCGAAAGGTATAATTATTTGAGAGAGGGTAATTATTCAGGCATATATATTAAATAAATTTTTATAATTTTATTAAGAAAGGATTTAATAGTGCCTATTCTGGCAAGAAAAATAAATTACTACCCTACCAAGATCGATAATTTCCATTGGTAATCGAATTAAGAAATACTATCCATTGATGTTTTATCTTCAATGTATATACATATGTAGACCTATCTCCCTTTTCTTCTGTTCTCTAGCTGTCTCTCTTCCTTTTTGCACTCTTTTCATCCAATTGCGAGTGATCGATGTTGAAATCCCAAATCTCCGTTTTTTCTATCAGATTTTAATTTTTCTAACATTTTCATAGATAAGTTAGGTCTCAATCTTGCAGAAACTGTGGGAATTTTCTTTTTTTTCTGGAAAAAATTTCTTTCAAGAACTTTAAATGCAAAGAAAATCAACAATAAAGAGATTTGTTTGCCAAATAAGATAAATCGAACATAAACAGAACTTTCTAAAATTATTATTATTTACATATTTATTTTTAATAATTTAACATCAAAGGAAAATTTAATTTCATTTTGTCAATTTACAACATTATGTAAAATTGCACTTTTTATTTTTATTGAATATTGTGAAATATTGTCTTTGTAAAAATAAAAGGGCAGATTTTTAAAAAGGGCATATACACTGCTTTACATTAATCAAATCTTCCGACAAAATAAAAATATATTCACGTGTTATTCTTTCAAAATAAGAAACAAGTCTGTCAAAAATTTTAAGAAAGTTTTTTATTACTGAATAATTAGAAATTTCAATATTTGTTTTTATCGGAAAGTCAATTTTCAACTCATTTTATTTTCAAATTTATAGTGTATGCTTGAGTGATAAAAACCTGAAACTGGGCTTCAGGCTTGTCTTCTTGAATGACATACAAACATTTAAATTTTTTCATATACCGTATTTCCTCTAATAGTGCGACCGTTCGATTTATCTTTCAACCTTCCTCTAGGGGGCAGGTTTATTAGAAGGGGTCTGTCTAATAGAGAGAGTCGCACTATTACAAAATATCTACAGTAAACATTTACAGACTAAATATTCTCAAAAATATACACGCCCCTTTATTTCACAACTTTCTTTAATAAAATGGTCGGGCAACTTTTAATAATTTATTATTTTATTTTTTATTTATTTAAATTTTTTTAATTATTAGATTTATTTTTTAAATAATATTTAATTTTTAATTAACAAAAATGAGAGATTTTTATTTTTTACTTTTATTTTAAAACTAAAAATAAAAATCTATTGAATGTACAAGACAGCTTTACAAACATTTACCTATATAAATAATTATTATTTTTTTTATAGAAATGAAAATTTATTTTCTCCAATTTCCCCCTCCAATTATTATTTTCCTTTTAATATTTGCAATTTCTTTTGCTTCGGCAAATTTTGAGTTTATTGTTAGAATTTCTGGAACATGGACAAAACTTCGAGAATATCATTGGCTTGTTTCTGTAGAACCGAAAGAACGTTTTAAATGTTCTATGATTAATAAAGACTCTATTAAATATGAAGGAGACTTTTTCGCGGAATTTTTAAACAAAGACATGTTATTTAATTTTAAAATTAGTGGAAGTAAAGAAGGTGGTTGGTATTTAGAATGTGAAGTAAATAAACCTAAATTTATCGAACATTTGTTACCTACTCTTGAAACTCAGGTGCGGACATTAAAAATAATGCGTAATTAGTAGGGATCGGATTTTTAGAGACCTCTTAAAATGGTACCTAAACAGGCTGCATAAAAGCAAAGATAGGAAACTCCGATCACTAAATATAAATGTAGACCGAATTTGAGTACTCGATCGGTATCAGGGGTGAGCGCATTGCGTTTTGAGTTTTGCGTTATTTGCGTTAAATTTTGGCCTTGCGTTGCGTTTTGCGTCTTGCGTTATTTTCGATGAAATTAACGCAAAAAATATATCCAATCTGAGGACAAAATTGGAGAAATCTGGCTTATTGGGCTTCCAAAATTCTAAAAATTTTAGCCTGCGGCGCTAAAAAAGGAAGAAATTTTGCTTTCTGGCCCTCCAAAATTCTCAAAATTTCGCTTGCGGCGCAGAAAATGGAGGAGGGATAAAGTGGCTAAGTGGAAAATATCGGAGGAACTGAGGTGATAGAAGACTATCGGTCGATTTACTGCGATTAAGGTTGATTTAAAAAGATATCGGGGGTTTGTAGGGATATCCTGCTATATCTCTGCAACCTCTGATAACTACTTTATGCTCAAATCCCTGTTATTATTCTAATCTGAGGGCAAAAATTGGAAGAAATCTAGCTTCTGCTTTCCAAAATTCTCAA